TTCCTGAAGTAAAGACTTTATGATCTCTTTTTCTTTGACTACTTCCTGAAGTGAGTTAAGATTTTATGAGCTCTCTGCAAAGGTCAGAGCAGACATAAATGAATTAGAGAACAGGAAAACAATAGAGAGGATCAAAAGTAGAAGTTATTATTATTATTATTATTATTTTTAAAGAAGAAGACAGAAGCGTGGTTCGGAGCAGCAGCCATGGAAGCCAGATAGGGTATGCTCTGGTGAGAAGGGAGGAGAATCTCATGAAGGAAGCGCTCATATAGCAAACCCACAGCTCCCGAACTATCATAAGATCTAGGATGTCTGTCTCCCGTACTCACATTTGTGAAAAAAATCATGCTACTAAGGAAAATATGGGCATCTTAAGACTCTGGAGGCTGGACTGCCTCGGCAACTACCCTGCCCCTGCAGAGTTTAGAGGGCCGGGCTAAAGTCAGCCTGGTTCAGAAAGCGGCATTTACAGAAAAAAAAAACCCCAAAAAACAAAACCCAATCCGTAGGAAACTATACATTTCTCCCTCTCACTCTCCCTGTCCCAGCTTTATATCTCAGCTCGGACATCAGGCGGGACAGTTTTCCCACGTTACAGAGAGAGGGAGTGGGAGGCGACTTTTGATGTCACCCTCGGGCCCAAATCTGAGGCTGTGTATCTGAGCCCGGGGCAGGGCACCTCGCCTTACTCCCAGGTAGCAGCTTGGAACTTATAGCTATTGTTCTAGCAAGCCGTGGCTGCTGCCGCCAGACCGGTCTGGCGGCAATACAATCAATAGAAACAAACCTGTAAACTTGCAGCATAATAGGACTCAACCATCCCGAGATTTGCACTGTGCACAGGCAGATAACCGCAAACAACCTGACCAGGGTTCTGAAGCAGTGCGTCTGAGCTGGGGTGAGACACCTGGCCTTTCTCCTAGGGAGCAGCTTAGAATCTCCAGCTATCGACCTTGCAAACCTTGGCTGGGCTGCTGCCTGAGTTTTCTGGGAAGGACAAACTCAAGGCAATCTATAAAACCCCAACAGAACAGGTCTCAACCATACCGAGATTGGCACTGAGCACACGCAGATAACTGACAGAGACAAAAATAGTGGTCGATCTTTCTCTCATTAACTCCCCAATATATATCTGCCCACCTATACAGCAGTGCCTAGAGGAGGGGCCTGAAAGAGGGGTCATCCCCACCCCTGCTGGAGGCTTCTATTTGCACACACACTGATGGTGTAGTATGGGAAAGTTGACCAAAGCGACATCTCTGCTCCAAAGTGATGATTTTGTCTATGTGTTTATATTACTTGTGTTTTTGGTCCTTTTGATCACACATCTTTCCTGGATGTGGGAGCTTTTCCTCCCTATGTCACCTAAGAAGAAGCAGCTATCGTGGCCATATAGCCAAGCTATAAGCATACACCATAATACTCCACCAATAAGACAAGACCTAACAACACCTGATGCACATTACAGAAGATAAGGGAAGCCTATCTCCTGATCATATTATTAGTAATAAAATAATAATCATGACGAATAAAAGGCAATAAACCTTATTGAAACACGTCCAGAAACAGAAGAGAGCAGCTGATGCAAATGAGCTGGAGACAGACAAAGGCTTTATAGAGGAGCAAGAGTGGGTTCTGGATATGCCTGAGAGGGAATTCAGACGAATGATATGAAAACAAATTCAAATGCTCCGAAAAAGGGTTGAGGAAAATAAGGAAGAAGTAAGGAAAGCACTACAGGAACAATCAAATAGGATTGACACAGCATTGGAAACAATTCAAAACCTGCAAAAAGATGTCCAGATGATCAACAAGATATCAGAAATGGACAACACACTGAAATGGGGAAGGAGCAGACTAGCAGAGATGGAAGCCAGAACTTGCGAGCTGGTAGACAAATCTCTCAACACTGCCAAGCTAGAAGAGCAAGCAGCTAAAAGGATAAAACAATCTGAAGAGAGCCTAAGATTCATGCTGGATAACATGAGGAGGAATAATGTAAGAATTACTGGCATTTCAGAACAAGAAGAATCAGAGAAGTCCACGGAGGAGATAGTTGAAGAGCTTCTCGAAGAAAATTTCCCTAACATCTTGAAAGATGAGACGATAAACATTCAAGAAGCCCAACGTACCCCAGGAAGGATAGACCTCAAAAGAAATTCTCCAAGACAGATAATAATCAAGATAATAATCAAGAAAATAAACAAGCAGGAGTGGCAATACTAATCTCCGACAAAGTAGACTTTAAGATGGAAACCAGCATAAGCGACAAAGAAGGACTCTATCTCATGATCAAAGGGCCAATTGTGCAAGATGACATAACCATAATTAATATGTTGTTGTTATTGTTAAGTGACGTTGAGTTGGTTCCGACACATAGTGCCCCTATACAGGGTTTTTGAGGCTTTAAATCTTTATGGGAGCAGAAAGCCTCATCTTTCTTCGGTGGAGCAACTGGTAGTTTTGAACTGCTGACCTTGGGGTTCACAGTGCGACTCATAACCACTACGCTACTACACGATCCCCATGAAAGAACACCAAGATACATGAAGCAAACCTTACTGGAATTGAAGAAAGAAATAGATAAATCTACAATTATAGTGGGAGATTTCAACACACTACTCTCAAAAAGGGACAGAACAACCAGAAAGAAACTTGACAATGCCACAGAGGAACTAAACAACACAATCAACCAACTTGACTTCATAGATGTATACAGAACATTCTATCCAACAGCAGCACAATACACATTCTTCTCCAGGGCACATGGGACATTTTCCAGAATTGACCATGTGTTAGGTCTCA